CTTAAGCTGTTGTGGTGTTCATTCACATTGTTTCTACAAGTATTGGAAGTGACATAATCTAGAAACAATGTGAATGAACACCACAACAGCTTAAGCAGCAAATTTTGCAAAACACAAAATGTATGTCACTGCCAAAACTTTTGGCCACGACTGTATCTATATGTAACACTATGAAGATTGAAACATCCATCTCAATACTACACTGGGATGCTTTGAATCTTAACAGCATTTTTCATGTATTAGCACTGTGGACGATGACAGCGAGAATGTGAGACTGTACCAGACTCACTCCACACTACATTCACACCCGTCAGACCTGTAATTCATAGCGCTCTGTCAGTGTTCCTGACAAACACCCCCCGTTGAGGCTTTGGTGCGCTCCTTTAACAAATGAGAAGCATGTGGAGGTCAGTCATCTGTCTCGCACACAGAGGGGCGTCAGTGTTTCTGTGTGTTCTGTGCTGTGTTTGCACGGTCCGGTGGAAAGCTAAAGATAACTGAGTGAAAAATGGCCCGTGGATGACCTATGATGGAGGAATTTATCTGCGTAATGCATTGTCTTGAAGTGTGTAATAGTTTCTACAGAAGCCAGAAGAGCCCATTAAACTGACACTCAACTGTGGGTCAACAGGTGGATCCACTGCACCGTCCACCGAGTCACTTTCAACTGCATGTTTTTAACATTTAAAGGCTTAACCAAAAAAATACATTTCATTATCGCTATTTTATGCTGGGGTTTTTTTTTTATCTCAAAAATGATTTTAGGTTTAGGATCTGTCATGCTGCTAATTACCACACAAAATAATTTAGACAAGACTCATCCTTCAATTTGCAACTCATAGTTTTGTTAAAGTACTTACATGAATTTGTCACTAACTTTTTTCATATAAACATATATTAATTTATTTATGTGTATCAGTAATTAAATCATTAAATGAATAAAGTGCCATATAAATAAATAAATCTTTCATCAACAGACTTTAAGTATATATATATATATATACTGTATATATATATATGTATATATACTGTATATATACTGTATATATAAGTAATTAAATTATGAAATAACACAACTTTTGCATTTTTCCACCAGAAAATGACTAGATTTTAAGTATTTTAAATTAATATTATATTAAATATGCTAAAAGTAAATATTTATAAATATTATAATAGAATATATTGCAATTTTATAACTCTATCAGGTATCCTTTTCAACCAGAATCAGCAGATTTTCATTACAGGAAAGGAAAAGTTTAAGTGGTTTTATCATACATGCATGCAATAGTTAAGTGTTTTGGAGATGTCTTGAATATGATTTTATTTTAAATATCTATTTGTGTCGCTGCCTTCTAGACTTCCATGATAAGTGTGTTACAGTTTGCAAAATGAGGGACAAGTTAACATTATTTTCTCTGGTAATCAATATCAGGCCATTGATGCTTTATCCAGTTTAATGTACAGACTTAAGCCCCATTCACACCAAGAATGATAACTATAAAGATAACTATAAAGATAACGATATTAGCGTCCACACCAGCGAACGATATCGTCTGTTTATTCTAAGCGCACGCTCGTCTGCCGCTTTAAATGCTTGAGCTCGTTACAGCAGGATGGATTCTGATTGGCTGTCAGTGTTTTATCGTTCATCAAAAAAATCGTTTTGAAAGTGATCACAACGATATCGTTCCTCTGTATCGTTATCATTATAGTTGTGGTGTGAACTATGCTATTCTTTAATATTGAGAACGATTTTTAGAACTATATCGTTATCGTTATCTTTATAGTTATCGTGCTTGGTGTGAACGGGCCTTTAGTCATTTGTTTAAGCCAGTCATGTGACAAACAAAAACTGACAACTCACTAACTAATAACTGAGCATTAGTCGAAATTATATTCAACGGTTTTACACAATTTAAAGCCTTTATTACCTGAGAAGACAGTCCATTGTTGATGGCAGAGTTGGTGTGAATGTTATGAGGTCCAAATGTATCTGAATATCCTGTGTAGCCATGGCGACTGGAGAGACAGTAGGAAGCCCCGCCCTCCGGCCCCGCCCCCCCAGCACTCTGATGGCCTGCGGGCGGCGGGAGCGGCTGAGGTCTGTGTACAGCACTCAAATCTGACAACAGATATAGCCATTACATCCGGAAACATTTTATACGTCAAAGTGGATTTAAATACAACATGTTTACCTTGAGAAAGGCCAGCGGGTGGGTACGGGCTCTCTGACAGCTGATACGGGGAGAGACTGGACACCGCCGGATGTGAAAAACCACCGGGGATCAGGTGATTGAACGCCATGAGCTGATTGGCTCCCGCCTGCTTCCTCCAACGAGCTCGTCTGTTGCTGAACCACACCTGAGAAAAGACAAGCGTAGGAGTGTAATTAAATAGTTTTTGATTCTGTCTGTTCTTTTTTCCAGGCGTATGGGGTGTATTTGTACCTGCACTCGTGCCTCTGTGATTTTGGCTCTCTGAGCGAGCTCTTCTCTGGTGTAGATATCAGGGTAATGCGTGCGTTCGAAAGCTCTCTCCAGCTCCTCCAGCTGTTCGGCCGTGAATGTCGTCCGACTGCGACGCTGTTTCCGTTTCAGCGGCAGATCGGGTTCTGATTCCACATCTGAACCTTCATCAGATGGACTCGCTGAAACACACAGCAATGCAAAGAACTTTTTATACATTATAGGTTTTATATATATATATATATATATATATTTTTTTTTTATAAAATATATATATATATATTTTAAATTTACATTTACATTACATTTTTTTCTATTTTGGCAACAGACCATCAGATGGACTCGCTGAAACACAAATGCAAAGAATAAAAGATTTTTTTACACACAATATGATTTTTTCAAATTATATGATTAAGATATAAAAATGCTATTTTTAAGTTATTTACAAAGTGGTATAATGTAGATATTATTTTTATACATTATACAATTTTTCTAAATATCTAAAAATAATGTAAGAAACCAAAATACTTAAAAAATATATCATATTTAGATTTGAATTTATAAGGTGTATTTTAAGATTTTTATATTATATTAATATATATAATGTAAGAAATATATTTATTCATATAAAGTTTATATACTGTACATAATTTTGTATAGAATAAAAAAATCAAGAGCTCAATCTCTTCAAAAGTACCTGAAATCTTCAATCTCTTCAAATCCAATTGTAAAAAATAAATAAATAAATATTATTGGGAATTTTTTTGTGTGTGTGTGTTTAATAATATTTATTTATTTTTAAATTGGATTAGGTTTTGTCTAGTATTATGGAAACAGTAGTCGTTAATGGCAAATCTGCACTTAAACAATCGTGTGTGTCATAAACCTAGAAAATATACACAAATATGAACACGCAGAAGCACAAAAGACACTCCTCAATTGGCAAAAGTACCAAACAAACATGTTTTAGCAGCTTTTACTCATTTTTAATGATGTGGTGTTTTGGTGTAGGATAATTGTATGAGCTTCTTCACATCTTTTCTTGAAAGGCTTCAGAGCCAGGCTTATTTTTGTGTGTCACACAGTAATTCCTTGTCTGATTTTTTCCCTCAGTAACTAAAAAGACCACAGAGCAACAGTCAAAAGAATAAAACACAAACAGAGAGAGCTGCAGGAGGGATTTTAAAAAGCACAAGAACAAACTGGATGAAAGAGAAATACAGTGGAGGAGAAAAGAAAGGGAATGTGCTGGATGACCGTAAAATTAAATGGAAAAAATAAAACAAATCTATAAAAGAAACACACACACAAATAAATAAAACCCAAATCATTAATTTAATAAAACATGACCTATTTACTCATAAAAAGGCTTTTGTTTTTCTTGTTTCAAACAGAAATGTACTTATGAGGACTCAAATGAGAACTATGGGAAATTCCAACAATTTCACAGGGATTTGGTTAAAGGAACACTGAAGCGTGTGGAAAACTGTTCATCAGCCTAGAATGACTCACAACAACACATTCCAAACGGAAAAGCCGGTAATTATACAGCATATTCATGGTGTTGGAATTAAAGGAAATTCACTATTTAGTGAATTTTTATTGTCCAGACATTGAGCTATTTGTGCATCTCTCTCTCTCAATCTGTCTTCCCCTCGGTCTTTGTTGGATCGATTTGCACGCTCCATCTGTGGAATCCGCCATGACGGACGGGGCTCTCAGTGGAGGCCGTCACCTGCCCTGGAGGGGATGGAAGGGGCAGAAAGAAGGCCAAAGGTGGGTGGGTGGCAGGGCAGAAAGGGAAAAGGGTGGGCTCGGTAGTTCAAGTGCTCAATCTCTTCAAAAACCCATTGAGAAAAAGCTCAGAAGCACCTGAGACTTGGATGTGGAAACAGATGATTCACAGATCTGAGACCTATCAAAAAAGTCTAGTCTATTGAAAGAATGAGAGCTAAATAATGAGTCACCTATGGGTTTTCTTTTACTGTGCACTCGCATGAATAACTCTCAAGTAAAGGGATATTTTAATCAAAACCTGTAATCTTTTGTCATCATATATTTACTTATAGATTTCAATTTAGAAGTTATTTCTATATGATCTAACCCTTAAATTTAGTTTTATTTGTGTAACTTGATGTATTTATGGTGATTGGGTGACTTACAAATTATACATTATATTAAATTATTATATTATATTAATTATATCTTTGACTTTAATAAAAAAATAATAATATGATTTTTTTAACCATGTTTTACGTTGAAACTACCAAGCTCCAAATAAGCTCCACTAAGTGGCTGTGTTCTTCTGTGCTGTTTTTTAATTAAATTTTTACTATGTTGGTCTAAACATGCTTTATTAGTGATATAAAACAGCTTTGGGTTTCACATCACATAAAGTAATTGATGAAAAAAGTTTGAAAAATGTAAAAATAAGACTTGATACCAGAAGAGATAATTATAAGTGAAAAACGACTGTGAATTTTGGCACAAATCTATTGTATGAACTATAGTGCACATGTTTCATGGACTACTTTTATTATACTTTTGAGGTGTTTTTTGTCATTTTAGGCATTTAACAGATGCAATTTTTTGTTGTTGTATGGAAAAATAAAACTGTTTTCACAAGAAAGAAAATACAGGATCGGAATACAGGATCAGTTTTTCACCCAAATCTGTCAGAAGAATAAAATATATTGCACAGATTTCTTTAATAATACTATTATGGTGTTTTGTGTTATTTTAGGAGCTGAATATACAGGATCAAAACACAAGGGTGAGTAAATGGTGTCAAAATGCTCATTGATCAAACAGGCTGCGTTCTTCTGTGCTATTTCTTTAGTTTAATTTCTTACTATGTCTGTCTATGTAAATATGCTCTAGACATTTATTGTATCAAACAGATTGGTTCTCGCGTCACATAAAGTGATTGCAATGTGGCGAGTCTGAAAAATCTCAAACGAGACACACTTAAATTTTGATCAGTTCTTTACAAGAATCTACTGTATGTATACAGAAGACTTGAAATATAGTACACTAGTTGCATGGACTACATCTATGATACTTTTATGGTGCTTTTTGAAAGGAAAGGAAATAGAGGATTGGAAAAATGTTCATTTTTGACATCTAATCATCAGGTAGCAAACAAGTAAGTGTTTGCATCTTTATATTTTTGCTGACTGAATGAGAATCAAGGCAAGTGAATAAACAGAACCAAAGAGCAAACAGTAAACACGGGTTTAATTCGGGCAGAAGAATACAGACCACAGGCTTCTAAACACACACACACAACCAAAACCCAAACGTCATGGAAATGGAACCGCTGGAGAATCTAGAGATATTCTGCCTTCTGTAAATACACAGAGTGCGTATGTGTGTGTGTTTTTAGGTCTTTGGCATGTAAAGTTAGCGTGTAGTGTGCATGAGTATGTGTTTTAAGATATTTTAGCCCTCCGCTATGTAAACGGTGCGGTCACTAAAAGCATCTCCATCCGCCGTTTCTCTTCAGCTCTGGGCCCTCGTTGTTTAAATTCAATATTCGGAGGCGAAATATCACCCCGAGCCCATTTACCTCATGCATTCATGTACACAAAATCCACCTAAGGAGTTTCATTAATACTGCGAGACGGCGAGCGCATATCCAGCAGGCTTTTGCACTTAGTTTTGGTCGAGGGCAAGCGGCAGAGGTCCAAGATAAAACCATATGTGCGTGTGTAGAGTTAGTCTGTGTGTGTGCGAGCGATTCTCTTGGGGGCAGGTAATGAAGAGAGCTAATTGAGCCAATGACATGCCCCCTCGCCATCAAAAACAGCCAAAAAAGAAAGACAAAGACATTCACAAAAGAAAGCTTGGGAACAAATGCAGCGTCTCGGAGAGGGGAGAGCGAGGCGGGTCCTTTTCAGCGCCGAGGTTGGCTGAGTGACTGCCCGACTACATTAAGCAGTACATAGAGAACTAACAGATGTCGGAGACAGAAAGGATGAGTGACAGCTCGTGGGCCCATCTGCCCCCCAGCGGTAAAAGGGAGCAATGCATGCTTTAATATTTCACATATGATAAAAATACTCCCAAAATAGACTGAATTTTTCATTTAGAGATGTTAAGGTCTAGCCAAGTTTGTCTTGACGAAATGTCCTTTTTTAGGTCTTCTTGGTGGTGCATTTGTGTTTTTGTGTTTGTGTGCATGTGTTTGTTTTGGCTGCCAGAGTGAATTACGACCCGCTGACTGCACACTCCATGGTGCCACACAAACCATCCCACATTGGGCCAGTTGGCACTGTTTGTGTATGCATGTGTATGTGTGTGCATCCATGCGTGTGTTTGCATGTTTGTGCATGTGCATATGTTTGGCAGCGTGTGCATATGTGCGTATTATAGGAGTGTCAACCATTTTACACTTTTCTAAATATACTTCTAAGTAGACTTTTCTGATTTGAGCAAACTATATTTGTTCCAATATGACAGGAAACGAATAGGGAACATTCTCAGAACTTTGTGTTCTGCGTTCTGGCAAGGTTCTCTCAAAGTTATAAACAAAGAGTATTCCTGTAGCATTAATAGAACATTCGTCTTTACAACGTTGGACTGTAACATTAGCACAAAATCATTATTTATACATCATTCATGGAAAGTTTTTTTTCTGGTTGCACGTTTGTCTAACATTTCTTGAACAGTACTAGTTTCAGAAGGTTCAGAGGACATTACTTAGTAACATTCCCATAATGTATGTAAAATTATAAAATAGAACATTCCCTTAATGTTTTCTGCAACATTCATAAATCTAAGAATTTTTTAAAAATATTTAAAAATGGGATATTTTCGGTAGTTCATAGAACATTCAGAAATAACATCCTAATAACTTAATGGAAACGTTACCTAAATGTTCTTAAATGTTTTTCTTTTAAATTTGTTGCATGTTTGTCTGTTTTTTTAAATGTTACTACTTAATAGTTTCAGATGGTTCCAAAAAGTAACATTCCCATAATGTTTACAAAATGATCAAATGGAACCTTAATGTTTTCACTAATGTTCAACCAAGAAAAAAAATTTTTTTTTAAACTGCGCATTTTGAATGTTCAGAGAATATTCACAAATGGTGTTTTTATGGTGTTTTTTAATGGGAACGTTAGCAAAATGCTCATATAGAACATATTTTTTGTTAGCTGGGCGTTTTGGAGGACAGCAACAGCGAGATTTCATAAGCTACAGTCTCCCCGCACACACGCCAACATCTTTGAGTCTTTAAGATGATATATGAAGACAGTATGAAGGAAAGGGTTCAGGAATCGAGCTGTTGCCTATTCAAAAGAAGGGTGTAAATACTGAACTCAACTTGCCTGTCTGTGTCTCCCAGGAAAGGAGGGGCGGTGGGAATGGCAGGGACTGACAACGGCCCACAGATATTAATCGAAAATGCGCCGCAGGCCAAGAGAGGTAGAACAAGGCATGAGGAGAACAGAGGAGAAAAAGAGCAAGGCCTGTTGAACTCTTTGGCCAGATGAAAGCGAAGTTCAAATAAAGAGCCTGATTTAATCGGCTCGGGCAACTCGTCTTTCTTGGATCGCGAGACGGGCAGAGCGTGACGGACAGCACGCATGACGAGAGGCTTGCCCTCATTGTGACCGCCGCTCCAGGCCATGAAGGAACAGCCTAGGAGAACACTGGTCCCTATTGACGGAAAAAGCCTTTAATAAACTCCCTTCGCCATTAAGAGTGACACTGCATCCCGATCAGTATTATTTAGGGAGCTGAAGTGGTGTTAGCAGGGCATCAGAGGCAGTCAAATAACATTCACCTTAATTAGTCACGCAGGGACAGGCTGTTAGCTCATTAAATATCATTACAGAACAGCAAAACATCAGTCACTTCAGCTGTCGGCCAGTAGGCAGCAAGAAGGCAAAAATAGCCTCTCTTCCACTGTTTTTATCAACTTTTTTCCCCTTTTGATTCCTCTGAGGCCGCTTAGCACAGAAATGCTACAGCTGTCCTTTCTTAGCAATTCATTGTGTTGTCATATTTTAATATTTATGATCATTTCTCCTTCAGAGGTTCACAGAAAGAAAGTCATATGGGTTTGGAATGACATGAGTGAGAGTAAATTATGACAATTGTCTTGTTTTTTAATTGATTATCCAATTTGTTCTAGTATATACAGTAACTTATATATTTCCTTAATTTTGTATTATTTTAAGGAAATGCAGAACTCCATCTAAAACCCTCATTGCTTTTGTAGAATGAAAATATCATTGTGGCCACATTACCCACTTTTTCCAGATTTCGCAACTTTTTTATTTCACTTCCTTCATGCCTGTTGCATAATATTTAATAATATTCTAGGGAATTACTTTTTTTTTGTGACCACTTATTTACTTGTTTTGTTAACAAAAATTGACTTTGATATATCTGCTTGATAACAAAATATTGAAATGTATCCTGCCATCTCTGTTTTTTCATATAATTATTTATTTGGTTGTTTATTCATTATTTTTCCACTTTCTGTTAATTCAGGGTTGTGGTACGGGGTGGGGAAAGAATACATAATTCTGCAATAGTTTGAACTTTTTGTGTCTAAACATGTTTGAAAAATTAATAAATAAAGTGCACAAAAATATTCTTGGGAATTACTGGTTATTGATGATCAGTAAATCTAACTCATCATTAATGCAACATAATGAATTAATATAGGCTATTAGAAACATTACAAGTGAATACACCACATTTGTGTTTATATTTCTGCTTTATAAACCACCAGTCAAAGTTTTGGGCACCTCACTGTTTACTATTATCCTCAAATGTGTAAAATAGTCATAATAAAGTCATCAAAACTATGAAATAACACAAATAGAAGTATGACAGTTATGCATTGACCAAGAAATGATAAACAAAAGAAGCTGTCTAGATTCCAGTTCTACGCATTCTAGAAATTCTCCCAAAACAATTTGATGAAGTGCATCCTGGGATGGTTTTGAAAACTACTGAAAAGCATGCATTCTGGACACTTGTTGCCCGGTTTCCTTCATTATCCAATCTGTCCGTTTAAAAAATGTTTTGCTGAGAAATTCTTGGGAGCAATTTATATTAATGCGCAAAGCTTTTCAAGCACAATTTCCAAAAAATTGCAAGTAGTGTGGGCTAATTTTTTTCTTTTGTTACTGGCTAAAACGATAGGAACTGAAAACATGAAAACATAGCCTGTAGGTCTATCATCATTCTAATTAAATTCCAATTTGTTAAAAGCACATCTTTCCAACAGCTCCAGATCATGTACAGTCCTGCTGCCACAGTTCTTTCTGAAATCTGTTGATATTAAAGCATAAAGAGTTTGTAGGATCCACTCACATCTGTCTGCGAGAATCCCCTCGATGCTGTGTCCGCTCCTGCGGGCGTGTTCTTCCTGCTCGCGCTTCTCGATGTCCTCTTCATCCTCCTCCTCCTCATCGTCACCTCTTGCGCCATATCGGCCTCTCATAATGCGGCTTATTGCACTCACTGGACAAAAGTTGAACCGAATGCGTAAGTGCTCTTAATATGTTTTCTAGCTTGTAATATACTAGTATGCACTTCATAGTATACATTTCATTTTTTTAAACGTTTCAGTGACTGCAAAAGTTAGATGACAAGTAGCCTAGTCTGAGTGTGTCGCTTACGTTTTGTGGTTACTAAAACTAGTGAAGACACTTGCTGTAGTTGCCTAACTTCAAAGTCACTTTAAGGCTATTATTATTATTATAAGGGTATTCTATAGTCTTTGCTAACTTTTAGAGCTAAGCAACAGAAATCGCGTTCGCCAGGTAACCATAGCAACAGTACGTCGATGTTGACAAAACACGCGCTATTTAAATTGTTTTATATATCACAAAATAATTTTTAAAAAATAAGTTTGGTTACGTCTTTAAGACAGTTGACGGTTAACTGTGAGGGAAATGCAAATGTAAAAGTTTATTTTTTAATTTTTTTTATAAATAATTC